GGTTTTATTAATATGGGGAAGGGATTATTCAATAGGCAAGGTTTCTTATGGGAATACTAAATGTAAGGGGTCGGGAGGTGTTTATCATCAGTATGAAGGGATCAAGTTGCTTGGGAGGAAGGCCCAGGGGATCCCATGCTACTCGAGGACTTAGCGAGAAATTCTCGTGTTGCTGCTCGAAATCTCAACCTAGAGACCTAAACTCAGTCCGCAGGCTATACCCCCTCAACGCTAAAGCCAGACCTCATGTTGGGGACATATAGGCAGTAGGGGATACTTGAATAGGTCCGTGCAGGAATGTGTGGGGATACCTGGCCCTGGACCCTACAGTAAACCCCTAACCCTAAACCCTAAGCCCATGCAGGAGTGTGAGAGGCGGCATTTGGATTCTCTTGAACAGCAGCGTGGAACGTGGCCACAGCTATCTGAGACTTGGTTGCTCGGGTGGGTTCAGGTTTAGTGGGCTTATGGTCTAGGGTTTAGGGCTTGGGATTGGGTTTTAAGCCTGAACCCCTCGTGAAGAACAACGCCAGCCGGCTGACAGCCCTTGCCCATTTTCTTGCTGCTTATCGCTAGGAATTGATTAATGGATTTTCAAGTCCGTCAATCCTGAATCCGACGCAGTAGTTCCAGTCCTTCACTCTGCTACCAACCAGCAAGTTGCCTCGAAGACTGCCTGAAACAGTCCCCCAAATTGAATCTGTAGAAAAACCTTACACTTCATAAGTCCCTACAATGGGCTCTTATAGGGTGCTTGGAGGTTCACGGTAAGTATAAGCCCTGTTTAACTGCATGTACTTAGAAAACCCAATAATGTTTCCCCAAAGTCATTAAAAAAGGGTTAAGTATAGTCCTAACTATCTTGTAATTACCCTGAAGCTCCAATCAGGGGCAGTACGTACCCCTAAACTCTAAACTCTAAACCTTTAACAAAACAAGCATAAATCCGTGATTCATCTGCTTCTTCCGAGGAACCTGTGCTCTTCACTCAGAGGGAGCTTAGAAAAAAAGCGCAACCACCCAAGGACAAGCCTACTCCAGCAGCCTTTGTTGTCAGAACATGGTTTTTGAAGTATATCGTGCTACGGAGCTTCCCACGCGGTTTAGGATTTAGGTGTTACGGTTTAGGGCTGTCTGTACGAGCATATATAGCGAGAGCAAAGGTCGAAACTTCAAGGGGATGGTGTTGCTAGGTGGCACTCTGGGATAATCAATGATTTCCCCTGTTGTTCTGCAAGGGAACCTGTTCAAAAATATTTGACTATGCAATTTCAACTGCCCATATAGCAAAATATTATGCTGTTTCAGGCTCATCTACACCCCATGTGGCTTCACGACGTTCTAGAGCCCACACTGTAAACCCTAAATAACCCTAAACCCTAAACCCTGAACCGTATTTGAGGGCCTTTGAAGTTGGACCCTAAGCCCAAAACCACGTTGGTACTTTTTTGAGCTTCTACCTGAAAGGAGTGCCAGGATGAGCCAGAAAGAAGGCCAGCGTAAGCACAGGCCCCAGGGTTTAGGGTTTAGGATTTAGGATTAGGGTTTCGGGTTTAGGATTTCGGGTTTAAGGTTAGGAGTTAAGGTCTAGGAATTAGGGTTTAGGGTTTGTTAGGTTCTAAACTTGTGGGGTTTGCTAGTTAGTAGGGAAGTAAGGAATAGAAACCAAGATGCAAGCTGGTATACAATTTGGGGCATATAGAGGCCACACCCCAAAACCCCATAAACCCCCCCATGAACATCTATAAACCCTATCAACCACATAAACCCTATCAAACACTATCAACCCAAAAAACCATAAATTCTACAAACCCTAAACTCTACAAACCCTAAACCCCTGGGGATCCATGCCTGCATCCTCTGCGAACAGCCAGCAATAAAACACTACAGGATGCCCTAGCTTCTAGAATACGTAGAGGGTTTTAGGGTTTAGGGTTTAGGGCCTGGGGCTTAGGGTTTAGGGTTTAGGCTTTCGGGTTTCGGGTCTAGGGTAGGTCCTAAACTTGCGGCTAAACCCCTGAAACCTCAACCCTAATGTAGATCCCAAACCATGAGCCCCAAGGAAACCCAAATGCAAAACACCCTAAGAACCCTAAATGCTCCAAGTACCCCAAGTACACGCACCATAGTCCCGGGAGCCTCAACCCTAAACCCCAAACCATAAATCCGTAAACCCTAATCCCTAAAGCTCATGGCATGATTATAAAATGAGGAAAGCCTCCTGATCCTCTGTGCTGGGCCTGAACGCTCTGGCAGCACTTGGCTCTACAACGCCGTCCGATTGCTACACTTGGAAGCCAAGGTAGCTTTTCTGAAACGATAGATTAGGGTTTGGGGTTTGATGATTAAGGATTGGGGCTTACGATTTGGGTTTAGATAGGGCTTATGGTATAGGATTTGGGGTTTATGGTTTGGCGTGCTTCATGGGGATTTGGAGTGAGCGTAGATGCCTTGAGCCCTAAACCTTGAACCCTAAACCCTACATCCTCAACCCCAAACCCTAAATCCTAAAGCCTGAATCGTAAACCCTAAATCCCCAACCCTAAGCCCCAAGCCTTAATCCCCAACCCTTGACCCGAAATCCTAAACTCTGAACCCTATGCCGCTTTGATGAACAGCCAGCATTTCACGTACCTTTGGTTTGCTGGGAATGAAGGAATGGATCCTGATAGTAGTCCCTACGCAACCCATTAGGGTAGTTTTCATTTTCTTTTCCTTTCCTTCATTCCTAGCTAGCCAAAGGTAACTTGTTTCATTGGTAACAACCGCGATGAATATGGCGCACGGTGCGTCTTGTGGGGAGTGACGGCTTCCAAGCCCTGGGTTCGATCAGGGTCGGCATTCATGAACCTAGTCTAGGGCTCCCAGCTACCTAAATATTGGGAACTGGGCCCTAGACCCTACACCCTAAATACAGTTACAAGCCCATTAGCCTACTATTCAGGTAGCTGAGAGGTTGAGGGCTAATGGGTTGATTCTACACTTCATTTTGTGCACTGTGGTTCTGCAACCCGGTGTCCATAAACTTAGCTATGAGCACATGGGGGGAGAGGCACCTTATTGGGGTTCTCTATGTTAAGGATTATAGCATTTTAGGGTCTATACTGGTATCCCCTTGTTTTGGGAAACGACCATATGTACCAACATATGTACGTTGCTATGCTGGAAGCATTGCAAAAAGAAGATACCATGTAGAATTTCTCAAAACTTACATCTGCCCCTGAACCTGGAGGTGCAGGGCAATCATAACCCAATCATACTTGTACCTGTACGTATACCATTAAGAAGCCTGCTAAGTCCCCTAATGGGCTTTGAGTACAGTTATCATTGGGTTGCAATGGTTTTAACTTTCAAGTAGAGCGTCATAATGGCAATGCAGATGTAGTTAAGTCTTGGGTTTGGGGTATAGGGACATGCCTTTGCGGAGCAGTGCAGCAGTTCGTGGTTATCCCGAGGGGTATTAGCGTTCCAATCTGGGGTTCTTGTTGAATATATTTTTCCTCTTTCATATGGTAGAACCCAACAAGGAATCTGATGTTGTGAACTTTCAGTCAACTTTCAGTACCATCCCAAGAAGGAACCCGTAATGAACATGTTGTCGCCACAACCGTAAGCCTAGACCCCGCAAAGCGGATTCAAAAAGAGAATCCCTGGTGGTTAGTATGGGGTATTCTTGAGGATTAGGGTTTAGGCTTTAGGGTTCTCCTCTCCCCTCCTCCTACCCCCTCACTCCCCTAACAAGAGCCATAATACCGTTAAGAACTGGGGTAAATGACCGCTAGCAGTATAGTATAGTATCATGTATATAATGGGGAAAACATATGGTATCAGGGGGTGGTGAGGCTCCCTAGACTTGAAAACTTCAAACCCAAACTCTCACGTGGGGGAGAAGTACCAGTGGGAGCCTCTGGGTAAAGTTTAGGGTGATGTAAGATGGCTATGGCTTCTCAAACCCTAGGAGGTGGGTTTAGGTTTAGGCTTCCCAGGCTTTTGGAATCATGGGTCAGCACCAGGTGCCCTGCGACTCTTACTGGATGGCAAAGCTAACTCGAGCGACTGGCCTCCACTTGTTAAGGGTTCAGGGCACATAAGGATCCAGTTGCTGTCAATATAATATTGAGATATAGGATTATGCAGCCTTTTTTTTACGTAGCAGGAGACAACTATGTCGGGTATAGGGGGAACATATAAGGATCTAGTACCCCAATAATGGAGAATCATATGGACACATAAATGAAAAATGACATGGAAACTGGGATTACTGTGGGGGAGGGTTATAGGCAGGAGACCCTTTTTATAGGTCCCAATAAGAAGGTTTACCATCAATTAGGGTCTTGATGGAAACTACCATGTAGCTACTAAAGGTTTAAGGATCACAGGGCTTAGAGCTTAAAGTTTAGAGGGTTCAGCGATTGTAGGGTTCAGGGGTTGTTGGGCTTGTAGGGACTAGTTAGTCCCCCAAAGTACGCAGCACAATTGTGTTTTATTGGGCCCGTATTCATCTACTGTTGACACGAAGGGAGTCCCATCTCCCCCTGACACGAACCCCTAACAATACATATTCCCATTCTGAATTACTTGAAAAATGTAATATTTACCATTATAGAAGGTTGGGGTGTTATTTGGCAGGAAGTGCCTAGCTGTGGGAGCACTATCACTACGGCATTCCTTGATTGTCAGAACCGCAAGTCCTGCAGACATCCTTCTGGAGAGAAGAATCGGCGAGTGCTTGCAGCTAAGCCG